GGGGCTAATAGTATGTGTGAGCTCTTAAACAACATTACTACTTGTCTCACAAAATAACAAAGCATGTTGTTGGATCAACAAATCACAAATCAAGAAATTTTGGAAGCCCTTAATCAGATGTCCCTGTCCAAAGCTCCAGAGCTAGATGGCCTCCCAAATTTATTTTTTCAAAAGTACTAGAAGATTGTAGGCAAAGATGTCTTAGAGGCAATCCATGAATTTTTCAAATTGGCTAGGATGCTTAAGGAACTAACCCTCATCACTCTCATCCCAAAAGTACAAATTCCTCAGGTGGCTTCACAATTCAGACCCATCAGCCTCTATAATACTCCTTATAAGATTAAAACCAAGGTTTTAGCTAATAGACTTAAAGGGGTAATCAACAAACTCATCATTCAAAACCAAAGTGCCTCCATTTTGGGTAGACAAATTAATGACAACATTTTACTGACCCATGAAATTTTGCATACAATGGAGAAATTTAAATCCAAATGCAGGTACATGGTCTTCAAGCTAGACATGATGAAAGCTTATGATAGAGTAGAATGGACTTTTCTTGAGGTTGTGATGAAGAAGATGGGGCTTGTTAGCAAGTGGAGGAACTAGGTTATGCAATGTGTAAGAATTGTATCTTATAGAGTACTCATCAATGGCTCATCAGGTAAGACAATTCAGCCTTCTAGAGGTGTAAGACAAGGTGACCCGCTCTCCCCTACCTTTTCTTACTAATTTTAGAAGTTCTCTTCTCCTCTCTAGTAGCTAAATCCATAAACAATGAGATCTCTAGTTTTAAGCTCAGCTGCAATAGCCAACTATTACTCACCTCTTCTTTACGTATGATAGTTACCTCTTTACTATGGTAGATTTGAATGAAGCTCATGAAATCTTGAATATGCTAGAGTTGTATGAAAAGGCTACAGGCCAAAAGGCAAACATCTAGAAATTAGAGGCCTTGTTGAGTAAGAACACCCCTGGAAGGTTCTAGAGATTAGTAGCTCGAAGCCTTGGCATGAGACGTGTTGAACATCTTAGATTCTACCTTGGTCTCCCCTTTGAAGTTCAAAGATCAAGGAGGAAAACTTTCGGCTTCATCACTGATAGAGTTACAAAGAGGTTACAAGGGTGGAAAAATCAAAATCTGTCACTTGTAGGAAAAGAAGTTCTAATTAAATCTGTTATGTCAGCCCTCCCAATTTATTCAATGTCCTGCTTTCTACTCCCACGATCAGTTTGCAACCATATTGTGGAACTTTAGAAGGTCTTTTATTGGGGTGATTCATCTCAAAGAAAAAATATTAATTAGGTTAAATGGAGCACTGTGTGTAAAAATAGGAATGCCTGGGGGTTGGGCTTTAGGGTAAGAGTGCCTTGGCAAATTCTAAAAAATCCAAATTCTTTGTTGGTTCGTGCTCTCAAGGCTAAATATTTTCCTAATGTTTCTTTTCTTTTTGCCAAAATCCCTAAAAAATCTTCTTGGGGCTGGCGTAGCTTTTGTGTTGGAAGAGATCTTGTAATAAAAGGATGTGTTCTGATAATTGGTAATGGAAATTCTGCATGTATTTGGTTAGACCCTTGGATCCCCTCTAGTAGGAACTATAGGGTACCAATCCCCTGCTCTTTAAACTGGGTGAGTGAGCTTATTGATTAGAATTCAAATTCTTGGAAAACTCAAACTGTAAGAGACATCTTTCCTAAAGTGGTGTAATCAGAAACCTTATATATATATATATATATATATATATATATACACATATGTATGTATGTATGTAAGTGTGTATATATTCCTTCGGGTGACCACCAAGATAGATATTGCTAGACCCTTACCAAATCTGGAGATTTCTCTGTTAAAAGTGCCTAATGGCTAGTCAGAACCTCTGAGAACGATTTAGCATTAGATATCGGAGAGGTTGATTCAACTGACACTAAGCTTTGGAAGCTTGTTTGGAAATCCCATCTCTACCCAAAAATTAAGTCTTTCATGTGGAAAGCTCTTAATAATGGGATCCTAGTAAGAAGTCTACTAGCAAAAATGGTCCATATTGCAGATCTGACCTGTCCCCTCTGCCATCGGTGCCCTGAAACTATTGAGCATGCCTTCTTCTTTTATTCCGAGTCTAGAACAATCTGGTTTGCCTCTAGGATTAATATTCGTTCCTTCAAACAATGAATTCTCTCTTGGATTCTGAACAGTTCTCTCTCAAAATCAAAATTATAGTCAATTTTTAATATGTTAGCAGCTATTTGCTAGTGCATCTGGTTGAAGAGGCAAACTGATTTTTGATGAGTCTCTTGACGACCCCTTCCTCATCCTCTCTTGTTGATAGGATTATCCAGGACTCCTCATGCATTCAAGCTCAAACTCACCTAGCCTTGGTGACAGGAAAGAGTAACAACAGTGATGATTGTGGTCCCAGTACTCCCCATGTTCGTTTTGCCTCAATCTGGATCGATGGAAGTTTCATTTCTGATTATTATGCTGGTTGTGGTGCATTTGTTCTAAGTCTCAATGGTGGTTTCATAGCAGCAACAACCTTGAGAGAAGTGCCTCGATCTGCTCTTTTCTCTGAAGCGAGAGTTATCCTTCACAATTTAAAGCTGGCTAAGCATCTAAAGCTTGACAGAATTCAGATTTTTTGTGATTGCTTGACTACAATCAATATCTTGAAGGGCAACTCTTTTGATACAAATAGTGAGATCTGTTTTCTACTTAAAGAGATAAAGGGGGAGATAACTAGGGGTGTAAACGGTATTTGAAAATCCTATTTTGAATTTGATATTCGATATAATTGAATCGAATTCGAATTATTCGAATATCTAATCGGTCAAATTCAGGTATTCTATTCTTACCGAATAGTTAATCAAATTCGAATTCAGATATGACCCGATTCGATTCGATAAATATCCGAATTCAACCGATTATTTAATTCTTAAATATAATATATAAAATATTCTATATAATTTATATATTTAATAATAAAGTTATATAAATAATTAATATATTTATATATTTTATATCAATAAAATATTTATTTTATATATTTATTAATTATCTAAAATAATTAATTAATCGAATTTGAATCGAATCGAATATTCGAATATTTAATCAAATTCGGATATCAAATTCAATGTTTGTCGGATATCGAATCGAATTCGGATATCAGATTTTCTAATTAGACTCGAATTCGGATATTGCCTGGTCCGATTCAAATTCAATCTATTTACACCCCTACAAATAACATGCTTTACTGAAGTTTATTGGAACTTTGTTAAGAGGACAAACAATTGTATAGCTCATTTCTTGGCAAGCCCCTCTGGGCCAAAGGGGGATGCATGGTTTGATGTGATCCCAAACTTCCTGAAGTCGAGGGTTGAATCTTTTACCTCTTCTCTTTGTAATAGAAACTCTATTGACCTTAATGAAGGTTACAAAAAAAAAAAAAAAAGGTTATTAATATCAAACTACCATAAGCAAGCTTTAACGTGGGTCATGCCATGCTAGTAGGGCATGGATTGTACATGGCCTAGATGAAATCACATCTGTGCCCAACGCCCCACATGCACATCTCATCGTCCATTGGGAACATTTCCCGAAATTGTCAATAGGAGATATTTCCAATACATGGTTGAGATATGCTTTGGGGCATTTTGTGGGGCGCCCTCTGTGGGTGTAGATGTGAATTGGGCCTAGATGCAATCCATGTCATGTCGTGCCAGGCCTCATGCCTTGGACCATGCCTAGGTGGCACAGTCCCCATCCCAGTCATGCTGTGTTGGACTTGAGGAACCATGCCGTGGTAGGCTGTATTTTTTTTTTCCTCTTTTATTTCTTAAACCAAGAAAAATAGAATAAAATGAAAAAAATAACATGTAACACTAGAAAATCAACATGAATAGATAATAAGTTAAAAAAGGATGTGAAAATTTTATTTCATTTAAAATTTATTGTATGCAAAAAATATAAAAATTGCATTGAAAAATAATACGATGGAATTGAATATGCCAGACTAAGCATGATGGGGACCATATGGTACCATGCTGGGGACCAGGTACGACATAGGAATCCATGCCATGTTGGGCTTGGGCTATGGAAGGGACTAGGCCGCCAAGGCATGGCCCGATCACTTGTCAGTTGACACGTCTCAAAATGACCCAATGGCATGGGACGACCTACAGGCCCAACAATTATATTTGCCTTTTTAGGTATTTTGACTAAAATACCCCCCATAGCTATAAACTGCTACTAAGGATCATAAGAGGCAAAAAAGATGAATTCAATATTTTTGTATTCTTGTAAATTTTTATTTACCAAGGGAATGCTAATAAGAGGGGGTCTTTGTCTAATGACCAAAATTAAAAGGGTCTTTGTCACAAAAGAAGTGTCGAGTGTCTTTGTCATTGACCTCATACCTTATAATTTATCCAAAAAAGAAAGAACACGAGGATGGATTTAAAAAAAAAATTAAAATTAGATAGGATGTTTTTACAAGTTCGATGATTCTTTGCTTTGTAGACTTTTGGAGTATTGAAAATTGGAACATGTTAATGGCATATACATATGTAATGTCTAATGTTGATGGGTGATGGGTTCTAGAAAAATTAAAATTAAAATTAAAGTTAAGTTGGATAGAAATGATTTAACTATGGGTTTTAGAAAAATTAAAATTAGGTTGCGTAGAAATTATTTCTTTGCATACTTTTGGAGGCTGGAACCTCGTTAATGATGTCTGATTCGTCTTATACAAATCAGAATTCTTGAACTACGCTTTTCAACCGAGTCAACAAAACACGTTCCAACCCTCTATAAACGTAATCTTATACCATACATTTCATATATGGCGGATATCAGTTGTGCGGTGTTAGATCAAATTAGTAAAGGGTTGGAACGTGTTTTACAGTTGGACTACGAGTGGAGTGCGGATCTGCTTCTCACAGCCTGGCGCCTCACTAAACGATATAGCGCCACGCGTCTCAAAATCGTGTGTGATTGTGTGAGCAAAAGACGAGTGAGAACGTGGTTTTTCTTCTCCATTCCCGCCCAAACCACTACCCCCGCCTCTTTTCTCTCTACCAACGAAACCCTAGCTCCCCTCCCTCCACTGCTTGCAACCCTCTTCCCGGCGGCCAGAGATCTCACTGGCGATAATAGACACCGGCGACTCACACCAGGTAAATCTCTCCTAAAATGGTTGAACACAAGGGTTTGAAAAACCGGTCTCTCATGCTGGGGTTTTTCCTTTTCATCTGAGTAATTTCACCGGCGATTATTATCGGAAGCTTACTATCACCGGAAACCACGACCAGGTCTAGGTATTTTTCCCATTTCATGGTTCGAGTTACTGTAAATTTTCCTAGTTCCAATGTCTGCGTTTTTGTGTTCCTAAACAATTGGTCTGCTTGGACTGAATCATTTCTTGGTTCATGAAACTAAATTTTCTTGGTTGGAATGACCTAATTTCTCTTACTTCGAATGACTGTATTTTTGTTTTTCTAAACAATTAGTCATGAAACTAAATTTTCCTGGTTGGAATGACTGTAAAATCTCCTAGTTCGAATGACTGTATTTTTCCTAGTTCCAACTGGTAAGCTTTTTTTTTTTATTCATCTTCTTAGTGGTGAAAATTACATTTTCCATTATTATATATATATATATATATCTAAATAAAAAAGTAAGTTTCCTGGTGATTCATTTTCTTCTTAAATAATAAGTCTGTTTCCTGGTTTGGGTGTATTGATTTTTTCATCTGAATTGCTTTTCTCATTTTTTTTTCCAAGAAAAGTACGTGGGAAGCGGGAAAGCTATTGGATATGTTAAGTGAACACATCAAGTCTGAAACATACACTAAGAATCTGATTTTCAACAATATGATTTCTCACGAAAACAATTTTGGTTTTAGATGTGACATATTCTATTACTATTTTCATCATGTTGATTTTATTTTTTATTCTCCATTTTTCTGATGCTATAATGTTTTTATTAATTGGTTAAAATTTGATATGTGTAACAGGAAATGGAGGATACCCCACAACCCAGAAGGTTGGCTTTTGAACCAGATGGAGATATAGGTCAATCATCGAACCCTTCACCTAATACATGTGAAATGGATGGTACTAACACTACCAACAATGAGAATGGGATAAAACCTTCATCCAGCATAGTTGAACCATCCACAGCTAGTGATCGTTTACCTACAGTTGAAGAGGGTAAATCCGTTGATACAACCATACAAAATAAACTCAAGGAAAAGTTAAACCTCGTTCCTGAAGAGTGGACTCCGAAGGTTGGCATGATATTTCAAACAGTAGATGAAGCGTATGAGTTTTATAATACATATGCTGGGCATGTAGGATTTAGTATTCGAAAAGAAAGTAGAATATTTGACAAGCGGGCTAACCAGATAAGGTATAGCAAGTTTTGTTGCTCTAAAGAGGGGAGGCGAGCTGTAGATAAGCGTAGAATCAATTCCAAGAATCGCCGACCAGAGACAAGATGTGGTTGTATGGCAACTATGAAGATAAGTCGTGTGAAGGATGGCTATCGCGTTATTGATTTCAATGAGAATCATAATCATATGATTGCTACTCCTATCAAGCCACATGCATTGAGCTCTCAAAGAAGGATCATTGGGGTACACGGTACTCAAGCTGAAATGGCAGATAATCCAAGAATAACTCCAAAAGCAGTGTTGGAGTTGAAGGCCAATGAAGTTGGTGGTCGTGAAAATGTTGAGTTCACTTGCATAGATTTAAACAATTATTTGCGTTCATACCGGACTAGGAATATGGAGAAGGGCGAGGCAGGTGGCATTCTACAATATTTTGAAGATAGACAGTCTCAAGATCCATCATTTGTATATGCAATACAACTTGACCAAGCTGAGCTAGTCACAAATCTGTTTTGGGCAGATGCACAAATGATAGTGGATTATGCTCATTTCGGTGATGTTGTTAGTTTTGACACAACATATAGAACAAACAAGAAGAATAGGCCATTTGCAGTATTTGTAGGGGTGAATAATTATAGGCAAACAATAATATTTGGTGCTGCATTATTGTATGATGAAACCGTAGATTCATTTGAATGGCTGTTTAAGGTGTTTCTCAAAACAATGGGTGGTAAAAAGCCAAATACAATTCTAACTGGTGATGATGCAACTATAGAAAAAGCGATCAATTTGGTATTTCCAGAATCACACCATCGGTTGTGTGTTTGGCATATGTTCCAGAATGCTACGAAACACCTTAGTGGGGTATTTGAGAAGTTCAGTTCATTTTCTCAAGATTTTCGAAGTTGTGTGTATGATTTTGATGATGTTGATGAATTTGAAAATGCATGGAATGACATGATCAATAAGTATGGACTTCAAGATAATGATTGGTTGCAAACATTGTATGGTAAAAGGCACAAATGGGCACTTGTATATGGACGACAAACATTTTCTGCTGGCACGAACACAACACAGAGAAGCGAGAGTTTGAACAGTGGCCTCAAGAAATATCTCAATATCAAGTATGATTTGTCAAGCTTTCTTCAACACTTTGAGAAAGTGGTTGCTGATAAGCGGTATGAAGAATTAAAAGCCGAATTTGCAACAACACAAAGCACCCCAATCATAGCAGCACATGTGGGAATATTAGATTATGCTTCTCATGTGTATACACCCCCTATTTTTTCAATGTTTCAGAATGAGGTGTTGCAACAATTGGACTGCAGAATTGAAGAAGATCATGTTGTTTCTGAAACAATAGCTGAATATACAGTTGGATTGTATGGGACAAATCGTCGATTCAAAGTCACATTTGATTCAAGAAATAATTCAGTTAGTTGCAGTTGTAAGAACTTTGAATTTGTTGGGATCTTGTGTAGGCATGCACTGAAGATACTTGATTATAGACGTGTGGATATCATACCCCCATGCTATGTATTGAAAAGGTGGACTATTGGTGCAAGAAAGTCTAGGAGCGAAGCATCTCATGATTCTAATCAGTGTTCTGATCAAGCTACAAAGATAGCAACACATAGGAAAGAGTTGTTTCATTTGCTCACCCAAGTAGTAAATAAGGCTGCACTTAGTGATGATGTGTATAAGATGGTTATGCAAGCGGGAGAGAAGCTTTTGGAAGATGTGACAGGTTGTTTAAAGCAGGCATCAATAGAACAGTCATCTGTAGCATCTGATGGTATGAAAAATTGAAAATGATAATAATAGGTCTTCAATGTTGTATTCCTAATTAAAAAATCGGGCTTGATGGAATACTTTAGGAGTAGCAATCCAGAAATGATTTAGAGATCATATGGTTATAATTCATCTTGCTAATTTTTGTCCATATGATCTATAGCATTGAGAGGATTGCACCTCATCACTTTTCTGTCATGGCTTTTTTGGTCTTTCTTTGTGTTGTAATGTTTTATTGAATGCTTTAACTATATTTGTTTGATGATACTAATATACTAAACAATTCAAGTTATCCAACCTTGGCTGAAATGATTGATCCAAAAAAAAGAGAAACTTGGCTGAAATGCAACTACATATTTGGAGTTTTTATCCTGATTTAGGAAGGTTGTTTGGAACACTAGAAAACATCTATCTTGGATGAAATACAACTACTTATTTAAGGCACCATTTTTTAGAACTTTAAAGAATGTTTCTGGTGTTCCAGGAGCAAAAAGCAACTGTCTTGTGCTCCTTGGAACACCATAAATGTTCTAAAGGACTGCAACTAAACTTATTCTAATTGGGTGGTGAAAGGGCATACCTCATGCAAGGAACCCCTTACTGAATCACAACCCATAAGTGCATGTTTGAGCTTGGATTGGAGATGCTGGATGCAAGCATGGGAGAGTTTTTCCTTTATCCCCTTTATCCATCTATGCCTAGGGTTAGTTGGTTAGATTGGCAAGCATAGAAGGAGGTCCATGGCTGAAATACAAGACAGTCCATTACCCAACATTGGTCCCAGCTATTTGGGTCCTAGGGACAAGTAGCCTAGATTTTTTTATCTTAAAGAGATTTTAGATTTGTAATGTTTAGTTAAGAAAGAGAATTAGATAGGAAGAAGCATAAGATCTGATATAAAGGAAGTTACAGCAGGGAATATGCAGTTCAGAGTAGGTAGGAGAGAGAATTTGATTGGTTGTTGGGGGAAAGAGAGGATAAGAAAGAGAAATAAGGAATAAAGGGAGAACTGTATCAATCTTGCCACCTCAAACACATTTAATTCATATTATGTATCTGATACTAGCCAATTAAAGACTCCCTAATTTATAGATTTGCCATTTCTACCTACTTGGCACATTTCTAATCTCTTCTCTGAACACTCCAACTCCCAACCAAATAACACCCACGTTCTCCTAAGACCAACCACTATCTTCCTTGGATCTCTAATAACTACTTTCCTAGAAATATCGTGCTCATTAAACTACATAAGAATAACCTCATTACAGTTAGAATGCTTACAAGTTCATCAGAAAGGTATCACTTTTCATATCAAAATGGAAGACAAAAATACATTCATTTATTAGAAACCCTAAGATTTTTTTATAGCAACTCAGAATTTTATTAAAGCTTGAAAAAGAAGAGAATACAAGTTGTTAGACATAAAGCCCTTTACAACAAAATCTCAACACCCCTTTAATATTGAGCCCAAAACAAATGATGTCTATTTACTCCTTGCTTTGCTAGTCCATCCGCCAACCCATTAGTGGACCTCCTAACCCATCTTACTTGAATTTGCATTTGTCTTGACAACATCTTGAACCGCCTGAATTCATTTTTGAATTGCCATAGTACCCCTTCTCCTTTTTCAACCAACCAATGACAAATTTTGAATCCCCTTCTACAATCAGCTTTGTAATTCCCATTTCCTTAGCCTTTTGCATTCCACAATAATAGCCAAAAAATCATCTCTCACTGAGTCACCCTGATCAATAGGCCCCGAAAGCAAGCCATAAATGTTCCCATTCCCATTTCCATTTCCTTAGCCTTTTGCATTCCACAATAATAGCCAAAAATTCATCTCTAATCACTCCAATTTCAGAAGGTTCCGTATTTGCCAAAACTACTACCATCAAAGTTAAGTTTCATCCACCCATCACTTGGAGGAGACCAAACCTCCAGTACTTTTTGTTTCCTAGAGGAGGAAAGCGCAATTGCCGCCCAATTTTGAGAGAAGTCTTCCATTGAGAAATCCGAAAATAGTTTTAAAGTCTTTGCCCATTATACTACTCTTATTGTAATAGTCTCCAGGACTGCCTCCTTATTTCGTTCTCTTTCCTTGAAGTTTCTTAAATTCCTTTCCTCTCATATTGTGCATACAACTGCTGCCCTTACACACTAACACAAGATTCTTCCCCTTCTCTTTGTGCATCTCAGGAAAGATGGGCTAAAGAGCCTTTCCAAACTCACAGGAGGGATTCACTTGCAACCAAAAAGAGAGCAGAACCATTTCCAAACACAACAAACAAAGGGGCGGGAGGTTAAGAGGTGGAAATCACTTTCACCATTCAACTTACATAAAATGCACCAATTAGGAGACAGCTCCAATTGGCATTTTCTTTCGCAACAAGTCATTTGTGTTTGATGCATCCATGGTAAGGCATTGACTTTTGGGGGGAGGATAAGGGCATGCTAGATTTCTTTTACATGAAAGGAAGGGGAGAGGAAGTGTCCACAAGGGAAGAAAAAAATGATTTGCAAGTGAACAATCCAGAAGGGTTGAGGGACATGCCTATTAACCACTGACTCATTAAAAACCAGACTGTCCAAAATTTTCAAAAGGTTAGACACTGAAGTGACTACAGACTCTCTAAAGATTCTCACAAATTCCAAATTCCATCTCATCCCAGGAGAGGAAGAAGACCCAATGAAATCAGACACAATCTCTTTAAGACTTGAGAGAGCATATAGAGAAGGAAACACATCTTTCAAAGGTAGATCCCCAACCCACACATCTTCCCAGAATCTAATTCTATTATCAGAAGCAAATCATACATGATATGCTCAAGGAACTGAGGGAGAATGCCATACACTGCGTTCCACGGTGTTTCTTGATTGACCCTTTGCAGAATATTGGCAAGCCATCCGTACCTAGAAAACCCATGAATACTTGAAACCACTTTATGCCAAAATCTATCATTCTCCAAGGGAAAGTGCCACAACCACTTGCTTAACAGAGACAAGTTCTTACTATGATGCCCATATAAATAAACTTGTCATAAAATCACATCCTTGTATAAATGGAAGCTCTTCACTGTGCCATAAAATCATATAAAAGGAATCATATCTCCTCACTGTGTTATAAAAAAAATTAATCTCTAGGAAACATTCAAACTAGGAAACATACTTATTATTTAGAAACATACTTATTCTTAATTGATAAAAAAAAGGAAACACACTTATTATTTAGGAAAAAAATTATTGTCACTACTAATGGGATAAAAAAAGCTTAGCAGTTGGAAACTGCATTTTTTTTTACAACTAGAGAGCTCTCTCTGCTCTAGTTCATAAAAGCTTTAGCAATTTTATTCCTAAAACATATATTTTAGGAACTTTTTTTAGTTCTAGTTCTAGTAGAAAAGAGATGAATGACAAGCTATAAAGATAGAAAAACAAAAAAATTGATAAAAAAAGAAACATTAAAACAATAAGTAAAAACCCCAGGAAAAATTACAGGAAATAGACTGATTGTTTAGAAAAACAAAAATAGTCATTAGAACTAGGAAAAATTGTATTCATTCCAACCAAGAAGATTTAGTTTCACGAATTAGGAAAAAATATAGTCCAGGAAGCATACTAATTGTTTAGAAAAACAGAAGTGTAGTCATTGGAACTAGGAAAAATTAGTCACTCGAACCAGGAAATGGGAAAATACCTGGACCTGGTTGTGGTTGCTGGTGATAGAAACCTGCTGGTAATGGTCACCAGTGGGAGTGCCCTGCAAGTGAAATGGAAAAACTCCAGAATGAGAGACAGATTTTTCATATCCTTTTGTGCAACCGCTTTAAGAGAGATTTACCGGTGTGAGTCACCAGTGTCTATTCTTGCCAACGAGACCTTCACCTTGGTTGCTGGGGAGAGGATTGCAAGCAGTGGAGGGAGGGGAGCTATGGGTTCGTTCCTAGAGAGAAAAGTACCATTTTACAAGAGATTTACCTGGTGTGAGTTTTTGGTGCCTATTTTCCAGTGTCTATTCTCACTAGTGAGATCCCTGTCTGCTGGGGAGAGGATTGCAACCAGTGGAGGGAGGGGGAGCTAGGGTTTTGTTCCTGGATAGAAAAGAGGCAGGGGGTAGTGGTTTGGGCGGGAATAGAGAAGAAAAATGAAAAAAAAAAACATTGAATTAAGCTGGGGGTAACAGATTTGGGAGCTAACGTTGTAACCTCCCTCTCAATCGTGTTTTGCTCTTACATGATTTTGGAGACATGTGGCATCACAACGTTTTATGAGGACGTTGTGAGTTCCCTGGCTATGAGGAGCAGATCCGAACTCCTTGCATTTGGTTCTTTGATTTCATCTATTCTTTCTGTACTTTTGGTCTACTAGCTATATTTCTGTGAAATAATGAGATTTTGTAGTAATATTGCTTGTTCAAGTGTTTATCATTTTATAGCTTTTCATAGAATTTATAAGTTCTAGGAAGGCTAAAGTGGATAGAATTTGATTGTGGTAACTATCTGATTTTTCCTGCCTGATGACTATTATTTACTTTTTAGCTTCTTAGGATTCTGTAATGGCTGTTATAAACTTAAAATGATATTAGAACAGAATACTAGTTGATTAGTTGAATCATACATATAGCATAGGACATAATGCAATCAACATTATGAATGATAATGCAGGGAAAATGAGGTTTCAATTTCTCAACTAATGGTTTCTATATTGTGTCATTCTTCATTCAAACAATTATAAAAATGTACTGAGTAATTGGATATGAACTCTATTTTGTTTTTTTTTTTTTGATAAATAATATGAACTCTATTTTGTTATTTAATGGTTTAGTTTTTTCTATTGTTTGTCTACTACATTTATGCACTTTTTGGTATTTGTACATTTTAAATGACAAGTAGCTAGTTTGGAATTATTGCTTAATGGACAAGTTTTGACTTTTGACTTTTGACTTAAGTGAACTTTTTGCAGGTTCTTCAGCCAGAAATTTTTTCCAATGTTGGCTTCTGAATTTTGCATCCCCACTTTAAAGATATTGGGTTTGTGCAGAACTGCAGATGGGGATTCATCTCCATACAGAGGTATGTCTGGTTGTGAAATGCATTTGAATCCCGAGGCTTAAACAGTGCTGCAAATGCGGGGTTATGTACTAAATCTTCTTTTCCAAGTAAGAAAAGCTTAGATTTTTTTTTTAACTAGAAGGTTTAAAAGTTATTTTCAGAAAATGTAAGTAAATTAAATTCCTTAAAATTGCTATCTAGGCACTATCTTTACACATTCCTCCTGGATTTACTCTTATATAAAATAATGTAGTTTATGGGAGGAAAAACTTTCTATTAAGTGCCTAGAGCTTCCAAATGCATATGTCCTAATCATGGACAAGTTGGTAATACCATATCTATCTGGTGTTTCTAATAAGAAAACATTCCAGTCAACAGTGAGGACCCAGAAATGGATAGGCAGTTACTACAATAATTTTCATATGTTTTTCTCATCCATCAGTTGTATGATTGTTAGAAAATATTAAAGCTTAGGAATATGTGGAATTAATTAAGATTCCTTTCATGTGCATGTAATCAGGGTTCAGGAATTAATTTCTAAAGTAACTTAAGTGATTCTCAGATAGTTAGAAAATTAATGTGAGTTTTAATTTGCAAAAACAATTTAGTCATAACCTCACGTGCAACCTGTTCTGTTCCCACCCCTATCATGTCAAAATACAATTGAAAGGTCAATTATGTGCTGGATCAGATTTTTGAGACTACTGGAAAGAAAATAATCTGTCATCTGTCTTTAGCAGATTCTAGAATCATTTGCATTTGCATTTGATATCCAGAAGTAAGGGAAAGCCAAAATTCAAACATTTTATTGTGTGTCATCCAAACATGTTAAAATCCAACACAAGCTGAGAAACTTTGGGAATATAGAGGTTCTCGTATTTTGTATTCACGAGACATTACAGAATTAGTACTATCAGAATCCCCAAAAAACTTGGCAATGGAAAACCAAGGAAATTTAAATAATCTTCCAATATTTACAATGAATAAATTGAATCAATTTACAACTAGCAAAAAAAAAAAAGAAAAAAGAATTACAGAGACCTGATATAAAAGTGAAAGAAGTGGACAAGTGACTCGGTAAGCTTGGAAACCTATCTATTTGAATTATGATCCACATTGTTTGTACCTATCCATAAAAAAACCTTGCCATTTTGTTTAATTCCTTAACATTAGTACTGCAACGTTTAATTCTTTTTGTACTTTCCATCATCACTTTCTTCTGAACTGCTACACTGCACTTGACCCCTTGCTGCTGCTAGACAAGCCAACTTTCTGCAATGAATGGATGAAGCAAAAGCATGTCAGCTGTCCACCTGAAGTCAGCATTCCTCACAAAACATCTGTTTAGGAAATCCTTCCCTTATTTCGATATTTCAACCGGTATCACAGATGATTCAGGTCCAAAGCTCCATGCTAGCTTCCTAGTTACCATCTCAGCCACAACGCAACCAAGAGCCCATATGTTACATGGAGGCTCCTGAGAACTGAATGTTAACAGCAACAGATTCTGGTGACATATACAGAGGTGTGCCCTGTCTGACGGGGTGGCCCCTTGTTCTGTAGAGCCTTCTTTGCCAATCCAATGTCGACAATCTTTGCAACATAGTCTGAGGCTTTGTTCCCATTCTTCGTCTTTCTCAAAAAAAGATGGTACAAGGAGGATGTTCTGTGGCTTTATATCGCAATGAACATATAGCCACATGAATGAATATGAGCGAGACCCTGAAGAATCGACCTGGTATAAAGCTTGACTTCTGATTCAGGCAATCCACCATTTGAATTATTTATTCGGTCTGTAAGGGTGCCTCCAGAGCCATGCTTCCAGCAACACGTTATAGATCATCTGGCCATTCTCGGTTGTGACCTAATCTCCAAACAGTAAACGATGTGAGGACATCCATTGAGGTTGGAAATAATTTCTTTCCTTCCGACTGATGAGAATACGATTCAAAGACTTTTGCGCACTTCACGGCCATTACAGGAGGGAACGGGTTTCGTTGCTTGTTGGGTTTCCTTCTGGTGGCCAAAGAAACTGTGCCAGAAGCTTCCTTTTCCAATTGTCGCGCCTCTTGTCCACATTCCACCATGAACCTCCATTATCTATTGTCTCTTGCAGACTGCCTGCTCCCTTTGATCAAAATTCTACTCTATAGTGAGAAACAAAGGAACCCACCTCAAATAATCATACAAGGATCCCGTTCCGGTTATGGATTACTTACAGAGAGGATCAAAGAAAGAACCTGGTTACAGAAAGAAGAGAAAGGGTGTTATAGATTTAAGATAAGAGCAGAGAATCAAAGTGAAGAAGCCCAATTCAGTAAATGGAGAAACCCCATTTAGATTATATTACCTGACATGAGAGAATCGAAAGAAATTAGCTTAGTTAGAGGAAAAATATTGTATCTAAAACGCAGTCCTACTTATACTCGAGGTCTGAGAGTTTCTATAAAGTAAAAACTGCAGCAGTTGGAAGTTGGATTCCCGCGTTCCATAACATCAAGTCTACGTACGCAATTAGTTCCATAATGTCCAGTCTACGTGGTAGCTTTGTTATTTTGTTTTCTCATGAATTAATGTGGGTTGCTTCGAGAAGGATCTCGTTTGGATGGTGAGATTTCAATCTTTAATAAATCGGTCTATGCAAATTTGAGCATGGTCTACAATTTGGGTGGTAGGGATTAAAGGCCATGATGCATAACTAATCAACTTCATTAAGATATTGAAGACTCATGTGTCAATTAAAATCAATCAAGAATCGTTTGATAACTGAAGTTAGCTTTAGGCCATGTTTGGAGCCAATGCCATTTTCCCAGAAAACAACGCCATGTAGGAGTTCAATGCTGGGGAAAACATTGCCCGTTTGATTTGGTCTGAAAAAAATGCCCTTTTCTCATTTTTATACCATTGCTAGCAATGGTTAGTTAATGCGATATTGCAAAATACCTAGGTGGTAGTAACAGTCCCGAAAAAAGCTGCTTTCTAAGAAAATGACACTTGAGAAACGACAGTGGTTCCAAACACATTACCTTATTGAATGGCTTATTGCTGTCTTTTAGTGGATAAAATAATTAAGTAATAAAATATTCATGATTATGATAACCTACCCAACATCAGCTTCAGCCATTAAGGAAACCCCAACTTTCTTGGCCCTTGAATCACTTTGAAATTTATTCACCCAAAGACAAATCAATAAGCTTTTCAGTTCAGCCACTTAAATTGCTATCAAATGGTTGCTTATGTGTGCTTCAATTGGTTCTAAAACAGAATCTTTTTGGGTGTTCAAGAAGCAAAATTGGTAGTTTTAGAAACCACTAATCCAACATTTCTGAACATTGAATATCGTCAATCTTTTAACATGCCAAAATCTCGTTTTTTTTTTTTCATAAAAATTAAAAGAAGTCTTATGAGCAAGGTGCCAACCGGTTTGTTAATTTCTAAAACACAATTTTTTTTTTCCGCCTAACAAAGGCGTAATATCTTGTAAACACATGATGTCTAGTGAACAATGATATTTAGTAAGCAATGCAGAATTTGGCTGTAGAATACAACTCCCGATCTCCTGTCTATCAAGACAAACCCAAAACTGAACCGATAATTAATCGGAAAATTGAGTCTGACCTGGCTGGATCCAATCATACTTGACGCCTACAATCACCAATGGTAATAACACCTTAAAATTTCATATTTTTTAAAAAATAACATATTGCTTATACTTTTACACAAATTATAACAACAATTACAAGAAAATCAGGAGACCTCTATATAAAGACAAAATTGATATTGTAATATGTTTAAATAGATTTTTAATGCTAAAGTAACAGAACGGGTATAAGTCCCTTTATCCCTAAACGTCAGAGGAAGTTTAAGGGCATATGGAGAGGCGAGGTTTAGGGGATTTACCCTTTTAAACTATATAACTAGCGAGGGGCACCTGTGCTAAGCACGGGCAAATAATATTGAATAATTGGGAGAGTAAAATATGAAAAAAAATTGAAAACAATTATATTGGCAGTCCCAGTTCTTGATTATTCGTAATAGAAATGATATAGAATAAATGGCAGCAGCGTAAAGAATCCAGGGCCCTTTGGGATTGGAGGAATCTTCAGGAATGAGGAAGGGATTGTTACTGCTTTATTCTCTGGCCCTATTGGAGAAGGCGACTCTCTTAGGGCTGAGATCCTTGCAGCGTTTGAAGGTATTCGAAGAGCAAATGAATTAAATATTAGCCGCTTGATTCTGGAAGGTGATTCGAAGGTGGTGGTTAGTTGGTTGAAGATAGAGGACAGTGGTTTGTGAAACTTTAACAACGAAAAAAAAAACAGTTCTTATGGCTGGGTAGGGACATTGAGATTCAGTACAGCTGGGTGAAAAGGAGTGCCAACTCATTTGCGGATGAGTTGGCCAAGCAAGGAGTGAATAGGGAGACTGTGTTTTGGGCTAGTTTTTAATATTTTTCTTTGCATTCCCTGTGTTTTCTGTTTTTGGGGAGCTAAGTTATTTTATCTCCCCCTTTGTATACTTATTCCCTTTCTTATCTTAATTTATTGAAAATGATGTTATTGATAAAAAAAATGATATAGAATAAAGAGAAAATAGTTTATATATAAAGGGATACAAATTTCTGAAGGACAGAGAAGATTATTCATCGGAAAAAGAAAGAATTGCAGCCTAATATTTCCATTTGTGTAGGTCTCATCCTCACCCCTATGACATTGAAACAACTGCAACCTAATATTTCCATAAAAGAAAATATTAACAATATAACTTTCAAAAATTCCAAAATGGTTCTCAAAGAGGATAAAGAACACAACAATCTAAAACATGCTTACTTGTCATTTGAACATTTCAATCAGATATCCTCATGTTGCCATGATTCAAAAGAGAAGTGAATCTCTATATAATTTCTGTAGGACAATGTGCATTTTTTGAGATATGGAATACCAGCCGTGGCTCCTCCAATCTGTTGCTAACAACAATTGCCTCCTATGTACAAAAAATGGTCCAAATATTTAGATTAACAAATGGCAATTAAGATCCTTAGTTTAAAAATAGGTTACCTATGTTTATTTTGTATTTGAGTATGACTGAAAGTCCCTTCAAGGGTCTCTCTCTCTCTTATATGCATAAAAGTCATTCCCTATCTCTCTTCCTGAACCCTATTATAAAGATAAAAAAATCTTCTTAGAGGAAACAACACGAGTCTTTTTGCAACTAAATTCCCAATAGCTAAGAAACAATTTTATTGATATTAGTGAACGCATTTGGTCTCCTCCTTGTTTACCTCATTCAACATGAGTCTCTTCTCCATGTTCTAGCAGTGTTGGGCAATCAAGATATCAGCAGTTGAGACCATTTGTTCTCTGGTGAAGAACTTACTATAGTTTCCAATAGCAACATTTTTAGCTCTTGGATCCTCCACATCAAATTAATCCATCTTCCATTAAGACCATGTAGATGGGAGCACCACCCCCCTCCCCCAAGGATAAAAAAAGGCCCTGCAGGTGTGGCTCCTAAATATGGATGGGTTATTCTTGGGCAGTTCTATTATCCAACATAAATTTCAAGGTATTCTTCAGGACATTAAGCAATGGCATATTCTCCACTCATTCAAGTACTTCTAATTGGGACCACCTTCTTCCCAATTCCCATTGATGGTTATCTTTTCAAATGCAGGAAGATAACCTTGTTGAAAAGCATGGAGAAACATGGATGGTTTCTACATGCTTGTCTCTATAGTGATTGTTTTAGAAAAGATGGAAAATGATTTTCCATGGAATGGTCCTGGCAATCAGAAGTTCCACCTTGTGGCATGGTCACAGGCAAGAAAGCAAGCGAAGAGATGGGCGCCAGGTCATTAAGTGCTATGAATAAAGCCCTCCTAAATGGTTTTGGTGTTTTAGTGAAGAACAAGAGCATCTATGGAGGAAAGTTTTCTGTGGTAAATATGGTTTTCCTCAGTTTAGGTGTTACTCATGCCAGGCAACAATCCCCCATGGCAGCAATTTGCGGAAAGGAACAATGCAAGTTTAGGGACAGTTCCTCAAACACATGACATCTAAAGCTGGTGAAGGCTCTCACATTCTGTTCTGGACAGATTCTTGGTATGGTGATGGACCTCCTGCTGAAGCCTACAAGAATCTGCTCCATATTGGTGCAGAAAAATTTGCAATGGTGACTGTTATGAAGTAGAGGCTGACCAGGTGGTGTGGACCCAAGGCTGAGATGGAACATAAATGATTGAGAGGTARCCACCCTGCTCTCCTTGTGAAAAGAAGCATGACACAAGAATCTGGAAGCTTACTAAAGATGAAGGTTTCTTCATTGAGTTCCTTCTAGAATTCCATAATTGGCCACCTTCAGGACTCTTCCCTTGAAGGTTATCTGGAATGCCCATGTCCCGTCCAAGGTACCATTCTTCTTGTATACCGCAGTTTTGGACAGGATGCTAACAATCAATCACCTGATCTTTTTTTGCTAAGTTCAATCACTTGATCTCTAAAGGCATGATGCTGACCAAGATGTGTTGCCTACATCAGCAAGATAGTGAATAAGTTCCTTAGTTTCTGATTCATTGCAAGGTGACTTATGAGGTTTAGTGTCACTTCAGCTGGCTCTTTAGAAGCCCTTGGCTGATCCCAGGAAATCAAATACTGTTGCTTTCATGGCTTTCAAAAGGATATTTTAAAATAAGTACAATCCTTTGGAACCTTCTGCTTTTCACAATATGCTCATGAATCTG